CTCCGATGGTGCGGGGATAGAGGGGGACAGGGAGGGGGGTGGAGGGGGAGGTGGAGGGGAATACAGGGGGATAGAGAGGCATAGAGAGGGGTACAGGGATAGAGGGATACAGGGATAGAGAGGGATGGAGAGGGATACAGGGATAGAGAGGGATACAGGGATAGAGGGATATAGGGATAGAGAGGGATACAGGGCTACAGGGATAGAGAGGGATACAGGGATAGAGAGGGATACAGGGATAGAGAGGGATACAGGGATAGAGAGGGTTACAGGTACTTGGGAGGATTGGGTACCACTGATGCTGCTGTGCATGGGAGCATCCCCATTGCCCCCCCAGTCCCCATCACCCCCCATATCCCCATTGCCCCCCATATCCCCATTACCCCCGTGTCCCCATTACCCCCCATACCCCCATCACCCCCCATATCCCCATTGACCCCCATTGGTGCAGAGTTCGAGGCGGCCCGGAAGCGGGCCAAGAAGGCCAAGCAGGCCTTTGAGCAGATGAAGAAGGAGCGCTTCGAATTGACCCCCCATGTCCCCATTGCCCCCCATGCCCCATTGCCCCCATTGCCCCATTGCCCCCCATGTCCCCATTGCCCCCCTATTGGTGCAGAGTTCGAGGCGGCCCGGAAGCGGGCCAAGAAGGCCAAGCAGGCCTTTGAGCAGATGAAGAAGGAGCGCTTCGAATTGACCCCCATGTCCCCATTGCCCCCCATGTCCCCATTGCCCCCCATGTCCCCATTGCCCCCCATGTCCCCATTACCCCCATTGCCCCCATTGCCCCATTGACCCCCATTGGTGCAGAGTTCGAGGCGGCCCGGAAGCGGGCCAAGAAGGCCAAGCAGGCCTTTGAGCAGATGAAGAAGGAGCGCTTCGACCGCTTCACCGCCTGCTTCGAGGCCGTGGCCACCAACATCGATGAGATCTACAAGGCCCTGTCCCGCAACAGCAGCGCCCAGGTGGGGGCAAGCACCCCTAAACGGGGGGGTTATATAGGGGGTGTTCTATGGGGGACATATGGGGGTTCTATAGGGGGTTATATAGGGGGTTCTATAGGGGGTTATATGGGGGGTTCTATAGGGGGTTGTATGGGGGGTTGTATGGGGGGTTCTGTGGGGGGTTGTATGGGGGTTATATTGGGGGTTATATGGGGGTTATATTGGGGGTTATATGGGGTTATATAGGGGGTTATATGGGGGTTATATAGGGGGTTATATGGGGGTTATATTGGAGGTTATATGGGGAGTTATATGGGTTTGGGGGGTGTTTATGGGGGTTATATAGGGGTTATATGGGGGTTATATGGGGGTTATATAGGGGGTTGTATAGGGGGTTACATGGGGGTTGTATAGGGGTTTATATGGGGGTTACATAGGGGGTTGTATGGGGGGTATATGGGGATTATATAGGGGGTTATATGGGGGATTGTATGGGGGTTATATAGGTGGTTATATGGGGTTATATGGGAGTTGTATGGGGGGTTATATAGGGGTTGTATGGGGGCTTATATGGAGGATTATATGGGGGTTGTATAGGGGGTTATATGGGGGTTACATAAGGGGTTATATGGGGGTTGTATAGGGGGTTATATGGGGGTTATATGGGGGGTTATATGGGGGTTGTATAGGGGGTTATATGGGGAGTTATATGTGGGTTACATAGGGGTTGCATGGGGGTTACATAGGGGTTGCATGGGGGGTTACATAGGGCCATCACCCCAATGCCCCCCCCGTCCCCATCACCCCCATATCCCCTTCACCCCAATACCACCCATATCCCCATCACCCCCATATCCCCATCACCCCAATATCCCCATCACCCCCATACCCCCATCACCCCCATTCCCCCCCATATCCCCCCCCAAGGCCTTCCTGGGCCCCGAGAACCCAGAGGAGCCCTACCTCGATGGCATCAACTACAACTGCGTGGCCCCGGGCAAGCGCTTCCGCCCCATGGACAACCTCTCGGGGGGGGAGAAGACCGTGGCTGCCCTCGCCCTGCTCTTTGCCATCCATAGGTGAGCCCCAACACCCCCATTGTGATCCCCCCCCCTTTTTGGGGTGTCCCCCCCATCCCATTCATCATCATCATCATCCCCCCCCCAGCTATAAACCAGCCCCATTCTTTGTGCTGGATGAGATCGATGCGGCGCTGGACAACACCAACATTGGCAAGGTGGGGGTATGGGGGGGGCACCCCCTTTATGGGATGTGGGGTGGTCCCATTGATCTGGGGGGGTACACCCCTCTATGGGATGTGGGATGCTCCAATTGATAGGGATGTGGGGCGGTCCCATTGATATGGGGAGAGGACAATCCTCTGTGGGATGTGGGGCGGTCCCATTGATTTGGGGGGGGACACCCCCCTTATGGGATGTGGGATGCTCCAATTGATAGGGATTGGGGCTGCTTTACCCATTTTGGGGTCCCCGACCCCATTTTCGGGGTCCCCAGTCTCTTTTTTGGGCTGTTTTGACCCGTTTTGGCGCTGTTTTGACCCGTTTGGGGGCTGTTTTGACCATTTTGGGGCTGTTTTGACCGTTTTGGGGCTGTTTTGACCCATTTTGGGGGTCTCCATAGGTGGCAAACTACATCAAGGAGCAGTCGGCCGCCAACTTCCAGGCCATCGTCATCTCCCTCAAGGAGGAGTTCTACACCAAGGCCCAAAGCCTCATCGGAGTCTACCCCGAGGTGGGTCCAGTACCCCCGGGGGGGGCAAATACCCCTGGGGGGGGTAAAAACACCCCTGGGGGGGTAAAAATGCCCCTGGGAGGGGTATAAACCACTCGGGGGGGGTAAAAACACCTCTTGGGGGGGGTAAAAACCACCCCTGGGAGGGGTAAAAACACCCCTTGGGGGGGTAAATACACTCGGGGAGGGCAAAAACACCCCCTGGGGGGGTAGAAACACTTCTTGGGGGGCAAAAACCACCCCTTGGGGGGCAAAAAAAAACCCTGGGAGGGGTAAAAACCACCCTGGGGGGGGTAAAAACACCCTTGGGGGGGGTAAAACCACCCCAGAGGGGGAAATATGGCCCTGGGGAGGGCATAATCACTCCCTGGGGGGTAAATAATGCCTTGGGGGGCAGAAATACCCATTAGGGTAATGGAAATGATCCCCCCCCATAGGGGTAAATCCCCCCCCATGGGGTAAATCCCCACTCCGTAGGGGTAAATAACCACACTATAGGGACCAATACCCCCCATAGGGGTAAATGGGGGGGGTAAATGGGGGGGTATTGTACCTATAGAAATGGGGGGGGAGGGGCAAATGGACTGACCCTCCCCTTCCCCCCCACCCCCCCAGCAAGGCGATTGCGTCATCAGCAAGGTGCTGACCTTTGACCTCACCAAGTACCCGGATGCCAACCCCACCCCCAACGAGCAGTGACCCCCCCCCCAACCACATGGGTCCCTATGGGTCACCCCCCCCCACCTATAGGTCGAATCATGGCGTTGCTTTGGGCCCTATAAGGCCCCCATTGCCCCCCCCATTTCCTATATGACCCCCCCCATTTCCCATATGACCCCCCCCATTCCCTATAGGACCCCCCCATTTCCTGTTGTTTCTATGGATTATGGTGATGATGCAATAAAGGATTTTCATTCCCCCCCCTCGGTTCCTATGTGTTCATGGGGGGGGGGCCCTATAGGCCTGTATGTAGCTCATTGGTATATATAGGGACCCCCCCCACTCTAGGGTCTATAGGGGTGGTATAAACCCCATGGGGCTGTGTGACCCCCCCCACCAGGGGCCATATGGTTCCTATGGGGATGTGTGGGGCCCTATAGGGAGTCCATAGTGACCTGTGGAGAAATATGGGTGGGGTATGGGGGCTATATGGGATGCTATAGGGTGCTATGGGATGCTACGGGATGCTATGGGGTGCTATAGGGTACTATGGGTGCTGTGTGATGCTATAGGGGTGCTATGGGATGCTGTATGGTGCTATAGGGGTACTATAGGGTACTATGGGATGGTATGGGGTACTATAGGGTACTGTGGGATGCTGTGGGGTGCTATAGGGGTACTATAGGGTACTATGGGATGCTATGGGGTGCTATAGGGTACTATGGGATGCTGTGGGGTGCTATGGGATGCTGTGGGGTGCTATAGGGTACTATGGGATGCTATGGGGTACTATGGGATGCTATGGGGTCTATAGGGTCTATGGGATGCTATGGGGTCTATGGGGTGCTATAGGGTCTATGGGATGCTATGGGGTCTATGGGATGCTATGGGGTCTATGGGGTCTATAGGGTCTATGGGATGCTATGGGGTGCTATAGGGTCTATGGGGGTGCTGTTGGGGGGGTCCCTCCCCGTGCGGCGGGAGAACCCCAATCAGCAGCAGAGTTATTTGTGACCCGTTGCCATGGTGACCGCGGAGCCGGCTCCTGCCAACGGCAGCGCCCAAAGGCAGATGGGAGGGTGGGATGGGATGTCCAAACCCCCCCATACAATGGATATGGGAGGTACCATTGGGGGGGGGAAGAAATGGGGGGGGGCACAAAAGGGGGGGCAAGAGGGAGGAAAACACGTGGGGGGGGGGCACAACTTCCCCCTTCGTTTATTAATTAAGCTTAGTGTTAATTACAAGGGGGGGGGCTGAGTCTCCCAATGGGGTCCGGGGGGGGGGTTTCAACCCAATGGGATGGGGGTGCGGGGGGAGGGGCGGGAGGAGGAGTTTCTCGCCCCGCCCCCACCCCCTCCCGCCCCTCCCCCCCCCCCTTTTCCCCTCCTCGCCGCCTCCCTCCGAGCTCCGCGCCCGGATCGGGCCCCACCCGCGCGGCACCGCCCGCGCGGCACCCCCCACCCCCCCCACCCCCCCTTTCCCTCTTCCCCGCCCCCGCCCCCCCCTTTCCCCTTTTCCCTTTCCTAAAACAGGGGGGGGGGGGCACCACCACAACCCCCCCCCTCCCCCCCCCATATAAACACCCTCAGGGTTGCCTCCACCCCCCCCCCTACACCCCGATCTTTTAACTCCTCATTCCGGGGGATGGAGGGCGCGGGGGGCGGTGGGACCCCCATTATGGGGGGTGTTGGTGGGGTGGGGGTGGGTGCGGGGGGGGCAGGAGGAGGAGGAGGAGGAGGAGGAGGAGGGGGGGGTCCGGACCCCCCGGACCGCGCCGTCGAGTACCTGCTGGAGCTGAACCGGATCATCGCGAACCAGCGGCACCTCCTGGCCTCGCAGCGCCGCCGGATCGCGCAGCTCGAGGGGCAGCTCCAGCGCCTGGCCCGGGAGAACCGGCACCTGCGGCAACGGGCGGCGGCGGCAGCGGGGGGGGGAGCGGCGGCGGCGGGAGCGGCCCGGCACCAGGTGAGGAGCGGAGGGAGGGGGGGGAAAGGGGAAGAGCTGGGGTTAAAGGGGGAGGAGGTGAGGGGGGGGGGTCATGGAGGGGGGTTATGGGGGGTGGGGGACGACCCCATCAGTTTGGGGGTATGGAGGGGGGTTATGGGGGACCCCTTGTTTGGAGGTCATGGAGGGGGGTTATGGGAGGACCGCTTATTTGGGGGTATAGAGAGGGATTATGGGGGACCCCTTATTTGGGGCCATGGAGGGGGGGAGGGACCCCCAATTTGGGGGTTATGGGGGGGAGGGACCCCATAAATTTGGGGGTATAGAGAGGGGTTATGGGGGTACCCCTTATTTGGGGGTTATGGAGGGGGGGAGGGACCCCCCAATTTGGGGGTTATGGAGGGGGGAAGGACCCCATCAATTTGGGGGTATAGAGGGGGGTTATTGGGGGACCCCTTATTTGGGGGTCATAGAGGGGGGTTATGGGGGGGTGAGGTGGGACCCCATCAGTTTGGGGGTATGGAGGGGGGTTATGGGGGACCCCTTATTTGGGGGTCAGGGAGGGGGGGGGTTTGGGGGTCATTGAGGGGTGGGGGGGCCCCTTATTTGGGGGTCATGGAGGGGATGGGGAGGGCCCCCAATTTTGGGGGTCATGGGGGGGTGGGGAGAGACCCCCCTAATTTGGGGGCATAGAAAGGGGTTATGGGGGGACCCCTTGTTTGGGGGTTATGGAGGGGGGAGATGGGGGAGGACCCCCCCACTTTGGAGGTCATGGAGGGGGGGTTATGGGGGGGAAGGAGGGACCCCCTTATTTGAGGGGATGGGGGGGATGGGGAGGGACCCCCTCAATTTGGGGGTGTGGGGGGGTCATACAGGGGGATTATGTGGGTATTATGGGGGAACCCCCATTTGGGGTGATGGGGGGCTCATAGGTGGGAATTATGAGGGGACTCCCCCAAATCTGGGGGTATGGGGGAGTCATAGAGGGGGGTTATGGAGAAGGACCTCCCATTTGGGGGTCATAGAGGGGGATGATGGGGTGGAATCCCCCCATTTGGAGGGCAGAGAGGGGACCCCCCAAGTTCTGGGGTGTTGGGGGGGTGATAGGGATGCTATAGGGGGGCTCATGAAGCAGGTCCCCCCGTTTTGTGGGTGCATTGAAGTAGGGATGGGGATATGGGGTGGGAACCCCCCCCAACCCCCCCCTTTTGGGGGTGTAGAGGGGGTGGGGTTTATGGGGGTGTTTTGGGGGGCTCATTGAGTGCGTACCTCAGTTTTGGGGTGCAGGGACCATGGGGGGGTTATAGACCCGTATGGACCCATATGAACTCATATGGATCCATATGGACCTATATAGACCCATATGGTCCTATATAGACCCGTATAGTCCTATATGGACCCATATAGTCCTATATGGTCCATGGACCCCCATAGTGGGGGGTAATAGAGCCTGGGGGGAATATAGACCGCGTCAGAGGGGTCCCAGGCCCATAGAGCCCTATATAGCTCCATATAGCCCTATATAGCCCCATATAGCCCTATATAGCCCTATATAGCCCTATATAGCCCCCCTATCCCCCCCTTAGGGCCACGCGGACCCCGATGCTCAATACCAGAACCACTTGGAAGCGGAGGGGCAATTCCCACCCTGCACCGACCCCGACCTGCCCTATGGGCCCCATCCGGACCGGGACCTGCCCTACCAGGGCCACATGGACCACGACGGGCAGTACCCATCCCACTTGGATCGCGACGGGCAGTACCCGGATCCCTTGGATCGTGACGGGCAATACAGCGGGCGCCCGGACCGGGAGCGAGCCTATGGAGCCCATCTGGATCACGACGGGCAATACGAGGCGTTGATGGAGAGGGATGGGCCCTATCCCAACCGGGATCACGATAGGGCCTATGTGAGCCGTAAGGATCGCGATAGAGCCTATCAGAGCCGTCCGGAGCGGGATGCGCAGTATCCGGGTCGCATGGACCAGGATGGGCAGTACCATGGGTGCTTGGAGCAGGATCTCCAGTACCAGCCCCACTTGGACCTGAGCCGGATGGAGCGGGATGGGCAATACCAGAGCCGTATAGACCCCGATGGGCAATACCAGAGCCGGATGGAGCGGGATGGGCAATACCAGAGCCGGATGGAGCGGGATGGGCAATACCAGAGCCACGTGGAGCGGGAGCTGCAGTACCGAGGCCGGGATGGGCATTACCCGCCCTGTCTGGACCGGGAAGGGCCCTATCCTGGAGCCGGCTCCCGGGATCGCTGCGGTGCTCCCCATCATCACCATCACCATCACCATGGCCACGACTGGGACCGGGATTGGCCGCGGGTACCCTTGAGCCGCAGCTCCAGCCCCGGGGGGGGTGGGCACAGCACCAGCGCCAGCACCAGCCCCGCCACCACCCTGCAGCGCAAGTAAGGACCAAACCCCCCCCTCCATGGAACCCCGATGGAGCATCCCGGTCCCAACCCCCCCCCAATGGCAGAGCTCATTGCACCCTAGGGGGGGGCTGCACCATGTGTGGGGGGGGGGTCACACGGGGACACGCACGTCACTGCCCCCCCCCCCACGGTGGCACCGTCTGCCCTGCCTGGCTGGGTGTGTGGGGGTGGGGCAATGGGGGAGGATGGGGATGGGGGGGTCGTTGGGGGGGGGGGGGACACTTTGGGGTGTCCCTGACCCTCCCCCCTCCCCCTTCTCCCCCCAGGTCAGACCGGGACAGCTCGAGGACAGTGAGGTCAGTGCTACCCCCCCCCAATGACCTTTGACCTCCCCTTGACCTCCCTCCTTCCACCTCCCCCCTCTCCCTGGCCGCCTGGGTCCACTCACTGGGGGGGGGGGGGTCATTGCGTGCGTTGCGATTGGGTGGCTCTGTCCCGATCCTGTCGCGACAGAGCCCGTGGCGGTGATGCTGGGGCGTTGCTATGGGGCTGAGCTATCGCGATAGGACTCCGGCGTGTCCCGATAGGGCCGGGGCTGATTTATCGCTGTCGTGACAGGACCCATCACAACCCTGTTGATATTGTCGCGATAAGGCCAATGTATTGCATTGCGGTGTGTCGCGATAGAGTAGGCGTCACAACAGGGCTTTGCGACACGTCGGGGGGGGTTGGGTTCTGGCACATCACGACAAGCCCCATCCTGTCGCGCCGGGGCCCCGCTGTGTCGCGACAGGGCCGCGCGTTGCCGGGGCGGCCGTTGCCAGGCGACGGCGCGGGCGGGTGACAGCGCTGACAGCGCCGGGGAGGCGTCGCCATGGCAACGGCGACCAACCCCCGGCGCCGTGCGAGTGAGTGACCCGCCCCCCCCCGGGGATCGCGGGGTCCGCGCGTGTCACGTGGGGCGTGCACGAGGGTGTCACGTGGTGCCGGGTGTGCGGGACCCGGTGTGGCTCTGGCTGTTGGGGGAACAGCGCCTGAACACGTGTGTGCACCGCATACATACATACGTACATGTGTGTGTGCATCGCTTACATACATGTGTGTGTGTGCATCCCTTACATACATACATGTGTGTGTGCATCGCCTACATACATACATGGGTATGCATCCCTTACATACATACATGTGTGTGTGCATCCCTTACATACATACATGTGTGTGTGTGCATCCCTTACATACATACATGTGTGTGTGTGCATCCCCTACATACATACATGTGTGTGCATCCCTTACATACATACATGTGTGTGTGCATCCCTTACATACATACATGTGTGTGTGTGCATCGCATACATACATGTGTGTGTGTGCTTTTGGGTTGTTTTTTGGGTTGCATCCCTTACATACATACATGGGTATGCATCCCTTACATACATACATGTGTGTGTGCACCGCATACATACATGCATGTGTGTGCATCCCTTACATACGTGTGTGTGTGCATCCCTTACATACATGTGTGTGCACTGCCTACATACATACATGTGTGTGTGCATCCCTTACATACATACATGTGTGTGCACCGCCTACATACATGTGTGTGTGCATCCCCTACATACATACATGTGGGTGCATCCCCTACATACATGTGTGTGCATCCCCTACATACATGTGCATGTGTGCATCCCCTACATACAGGTGCAACACCTTACACACGTGTGCATCCCCTGCACATGTGTGTGCAACACCCTGCATACATGTGCGACACCCTGCATACGTGTGCAGTACCTTACATGTGTGCAACACTCTACATGTGTGTGCATCCCCTACACACGTGTGCATCCACTCTATATGTGTGCATCCCCTACATGTGTGTGCAACACCCTACATGTGTATTCAACCCCCTATATGTGTAGGCATCCCCTACACTCATTTGCATCCCGTACACATGTGTGCATCCCCTCCACACATGTGCATCCCTCCATGTGTGTGCATCCCCTATACACGTGTACATCCCCTATATACGTGTGCATCCCCTATACACGTGTGTGTCCCCTACATATGTGTGCATCCCCTATACATGTGTGCATCCCCTACATGCGTGTCCATCCCCTACACATGTATACAACACCCTACACGTGTGTGCATCCCCTACACACATATACAACACCCTACATACATGTGCATCCCCTATACATGTGTGCATCCCCTACATGTGTGCATCCCCTACACACATGTGCATCCTCTATACATGTGTGCATCCCCTACATGTGTGCATCCCCTACACACATGTGCATCCGCTATACATTTGTGCATCCCCTATACATGTGTGCATCCCCTACATACATGTGCATCCCCTACACACATGTGCATCCTCTATACATGTGTGCATCCCCTACATGTGTGCATCCCCTACACACATGTGCATCCGCTATACATGTGTGCATCCCCTATACCTCTGTGCATCCCCTACATACGTGTACATTCCCTACACACATGTGCATCTGCTATACATGTGTGCATCCCCTACACGTGTATGCATCCCCTACACATGTGTGCGTCCCCTACATACGTGTGCATCCCCTATATGTATGTGCATCCCCTACATGTGTGCATCCCCTACACACATGTGCATCCGCTATACATTTGTGCATCCCCTATACATGTGTGCATCCCCTACATACATGTGCATCCCCTACACACATGTGCATCCTCTATACATGTGTGCATCCCCTACATGTGTGCATCCCCTACACACATGTGCATCCGCTATACATGTGTGCATCCCCTATACCTCTGTGCATCCCCTACATACGTGTACATTCCCTACACACATGTGCATCTGCTATACATGTGTGCATCCCCTACACGTGTATGCATCCCCTACACATGTGTGCGTCCCCTACATACGTGTGCATCCCCTATATGTATGTGCATCCCCTACATGTGTGCATCCCCTACACACATGTGCATCCCCTATACATGTGTGCATCCCCTATACATGTGTGCATCCCCTACATACATGTGCATCCCCTACACACATGTGCATC